ATGCGTAGTCCCAAAGCGAAAAATTCCTCAATTCCCCAACATGCGAGCCTACCTTTTTAATATATTTATTTTCGCCCCGCCCAGCAACCAAAACCCTTTTACCCCTGCCTTGAAACACTCAGCTTTGGTTGGCTAAAATTTCAGACAAACAATACGAGAGCTTTTGTGCAGACAAAATTGAAAATAAACATCAAAAACTATTTGCAAAAGGGATCAGAACTTGCTCTACAATATTTGGTTTGTGATTTCATTTTTTTTTGGGAATGCTGTTGACGGCTGGCTAAAATAATTATTGGTAATTGAATCTATTGGCACCATGAGGAGGTTGAATTTATTTGATATTTAATCTACAGAGAGACACATATATTTGTTCAGATTTGACTGAAAGTTCTGGCAATGAAAGCGAACTACAAATAAAAAATCTAAACAAATATTGAACAACACCAAGATTTAATTTGTTTAATGAAAGGTAAATACAAATCAAAGGAAACTTTATAGCTATATATTTCTTACTTAATAAAACTGTGTTATAAACAAGAAGTTTGTTTTTGTAAATAAATGATGCTTTTAACGTGCCAAAATAACACACTTTTTCTCGATATAAATTTTAGAATCAAATCAAATATGAGTAACATTTCAAAGAGAGGCTACTAACAACCTTTAGCCAATTGATTTGCAAAATTGTATCTATTATCTGTTTGCGCTTTTTCCTCTCAATCAATAAAACTCCTCCTTTTGCCTTTCGAAATACTTAGACCAGAGTGCATCAAATCCATCAAATTGAATTTAATAATATTTTATTTCATAGGTAGGTAGTGTGTGTGTGTGTGCGGCAAATGCTCAAGTAAATCCAATAAAAATTCAAATTCACCTTTTTCAATTCGTAGGCAACATTCAAGCACATATATACAAATAAACGGAGGTACAATTTCTGCAATTGGATTGTTAAGGTTTGGCTCCTTTGTGCGCTGCATATCAATCATGCTTAAGATGATGAGGTACCAAAGGAAAGGGGTAAGTGGAACCGTAGAGGTAATATATTTCTAGCATTTTAAGCTGAATTTATTATGCAGACTTCTGCATCATATATATATTTTTCGGTTTTTGCGTTTACATTTTATTAAAAAGTCCTAATGGAATATTAAGGGAAGACAATTGTATTATGCTACGAAATTGTTAATATTTTTTACGGATTTTCCTATTCCTTGTTATTTTTTTGTTTATGTTTGAACTGTAAAGCATAACCCTTTCTCATATTATCTTTAAAGCTTTATAATTTTTATAAATAAAACAAAAAGTTTATAAGACTTAAAAGTTAATATAAGAAAGGGTAAACAAATATGCTATATCCTCTAACCCATACGAAAGCATTTGAAATCAAGTAAGATATGCATCATGATTTTCTTTATATTTCTGTTTTGCAGACATATTTTCCAGCTTATTTAGTAGCTTGTTCCTTTTCTTGACACACTTCAAAGCCTGTCAAGTTGCTTGAGTTGGGCACAACCTTTTTTTGCCCCACCTCCGCCACTCTTTTTCTTTCGGCGTAATGAATTCCTTCGCATGATTCCCATGAAGCGTTTCATCTTTGTGGGCCACATGGCCATGGGCTAATTTGGGTGAAGGTTCCTTCGACGCTGACAAAAAGCGCTCACACATGGCTTGCTTAGCATTACTTAGTGCCTGTGCATTTTCCTCTGCCGCCTATCATTTTCCATTGCATTCTTTTGGGCTGAGAGGGCGAAATGGGCGGATGTGTAATATTTCCATGCCACATTGCGTAGCCGCAATAGATAAAAAATGAATGTTTGGTCAGAGACAAGAGAAGTTTGTGGGAAAAAAGAGTAAGTTCGCCCCGAAAAGAAATGCTTTTCTTTGAGACGTTGATTCCGCTACATTTGAAAGCAGATTTGTTGCACACAGAAATAAAAGCAAATATTTGTTTTGGTTGGATGAGCACAAGAAACTGCAAAGTCGAAGACAAGAACGGAAAAAAAGTTTGCTAATAGGAATAGTTTTAAAAATATAGTTTTCTTGTAATAATAGTTTAATTTTATTGTATAAAAATTGTACAAACCTTAAATAACCATTTTTTAAACACTTAATTTAAACAATAGTCAAACTAAAGAACATTTAAATTTTTAATCTAAAGATAATATAAAAATTTTAAAAGCCAAACTTAACAACAATTTAATTCAACAAAAAGTAAGAGTAAAAAAATAACAAAATTATCTTTAAAAAAATATATACCCACCCACCTTTTTCACAATCTCTTTAATTCATCTTAAATGTTTAATCGTTCATTTGTTATTTTTTAAATATTAAACTCATTATAAAATTCCAAAAGAATTCCTTAATCGCACCATTACACTTTCATAAATACGCAAACAAAAGAGTGCCAAAAGTTTTGCCAAAACAAATGAACTCATTTGGCATTCAGCTATGAATTTCATTATTATGAAGACAAAGAGTGCTGGAAAATGTCCAGGCTTGTTTGTTCTAAAGCAGTGCCACTTAAGGTGGGAGAAATGAGAAAGACTTCTTGGAAGATCTAAGATAATCCTACCATTTTGCAAGAGAAGCAGCAACAGCAGAGAAAAGAGCGCTATAAGAGTATCCATAGCTTTGCGGGTGGCGTATATCCTTTATTTCGCTATAATCCTTAATGGCTGATTTCACTAAATCTCTACTCTTTTGCAGTGAGTTTATTACACGGTTTCTTTTTTTTTGCAGTTAATTACGAGGCTGTTCACTTGGGGGATAATGGCACATGACTGAGCCGCTCATGTGTCACCGGTGGCCGGAAAAGCGGCAACAACACTTTCACTTTTGGCCAGGACAATGCGGCATGACATCATCATCATCCATTTCAGGGCCAACATTTTTGCTTTATGTCTTTTTTTTGGCTATTTTGTTTTGTGGTTCTTCTTTTTTTTCTATTTCTTTCTTAAGCACTAGCACTCGAGGAGGAAACACTTGGTTGGTAGTAAGCCGGAGGTGGGAGGTGGGCGGTGGAACCCGCCTAGGTTGACATATCCGGCAAACATATCCTGCCAGCGATTTTACGTTTAATTTTCGCGCTCTACTTGGATGAATTTCGGATGCCGCTGTTGGGGAATCCCATTGCAGGCGAACGTCGAGATTCGACTGAAAGTGCACCGCAGGACATTCGGCATCCACGGCGGATGCTTAACGAATTGCGAGTGCGAGTGCGAGTACGAAGTATTCGTGCTGACTTTCTCAAAAAGCAAGTCCTTCGATTATCGCAACCGCGCTCACGTTCGAACCGTTGCGAAATCAGAAATTACACTGAAGTCATCGCTCGTCCTGTCGCATCCTTTTTGTCCCATCGCCAGAAAGTCGGGCCGAAAAGGGAAAACTTCTTCTATTAAAGAACTTCGCTATGTTGGCACACTTTCCGTCGGCGTCGGCTCTTCAAGTAGCAACTTATCTATAAGCATTTGTTTCTAAACAATTTGCAGTTCGAAATGTTGAGGGAGGTTTTTGGCAGGGGCAAGGATGTTATTGGGGTGAAAAGCATCCTGCGAGCTTGTTGAAGGGGTAGCAAAAGCTTTTATAGCATAGGACATGCTTTAACCTTATGAACGTTTGCCATAAGAAAAGCTTTTAGTAATATAACTTTCTGCAAGTTGTTATAAACTGGACTGTTAGTAACATACGAAATATCTATTTGCTTTTTTTAAATTTAAGATGAAATTGAAAGACGTATTACATTACATTCCATTTTCGATTCTCGATTGTTAAACGATTTTTTAAAGATTATTTAACCTTTATAAAAAGGTGCAATGCCTTACATTGCGCTTATAACAGCAACAAATCTGTTAATGCTATTAAGCTTTTGAATATAACATATATATTAGTCTAGCGAGAAAACCAAGTTTCAGATTTCAGTTATACACAAATGACATTTAACCACATTTTGTTATAACATTTTGATAAGGCTTTTAAGATATAATATTGTTGAAAAGCTTTATCAGTAAAAATCTTTCTGTATTTAGGCATTTGTGTCTTCGAAATTGTCCATTTATTTGTTAAACAAATTTCATAGAAACTTAAGTTTTCGAAAACAATTTTAATTTAATAAAAAATTGTTATATTTACTTAAAATAAATACCTTTTTTATAGACAGCTTACTTTTAAAGCCGATTCAAAAACAAATAAGTATAAATAGCCACATTTCTTTCATTATTTAAACATTTTTGATAAAAAAACCAAAGCAAATATCTCTCAAATTGTAAAAAAGGATTGAAATGGGAATCGGGTCCTAGGAGCAGGAAAAAACAAAGAAAATCGAACTGCACTCAATGTTTGACCGATTAAAGCCTTATATATTTACAAACATTTGCAGCATTTGCATAATCGTTGACTGCGTCGCATATTGGAATTCCATATGTAGTCACACTGGCCAAGTTGATGGCTCATTATAGCTCTTAACGCGTTCGCCTAAAGCCTGCCAAACGTACTGAGCACAAAAAACGTTATTGTTTCTTAATCTGTTTGCATCTCCACCATTATCATCGTCATAATCATCAGTAAGTTTCCCCCTCTTCCGCCCACGAATACACTTTCCATAATAACCCCTACACCACCAAAACTCCAAAATGTTTGCCTTTGGGTGACTCTTTTTTATATCGGCTTTTGGTTTCGTTTTGGCCGGCGGCAAACATTTGGCTTTATTGTCAATTCGATCGATTAGCGAATTGAAGAATACATGATTTGGCAATATTGAATGGTTGAAAATTGTTTCTGAAAATCGACATAGTTTTGTTGCTTTTAAACCTACATATAAGTACAAAAATACAAATACAGTAGTATTAAAGAATACTTTATTTAACTAAAAGCTGTACTGAATTGTTAAAAAGAAAGCCAATATGCCATTTATTGGCATCGATCTTCATACCCTCCTCTTTATATTTGATAAATATTATAAAGCAGGTATCCACTCCAATCAATATGAAGTGTAAGTGGAAATAAGTGGGTTGTTCATGCACATATCAAGAAGCTTTATTCAGTGAAACCGGATGCTGTAATCAGCCGTAGAAAACGTATGGGGAGGCATATCCCACGGCCGGATAACCAGAGTAGACATACTGGGGCACCGGAGCGGGATTGGGATTGGGTCCTGGAGCAGGAACAGCCATGGCAACGGCCAACAGGGCGGCGAACAAAAGCAGTACCTGTGGGCGCAAAATCAGACAGAGCAATCGTTCAGCGATTACAGGATCAAAGGCGAGTGTCCTATGACAAAAACAAGTGCTCACCAGCTTCAGCATGTTGATGAAAGGGTTATTTCTCCGATTAGACAAACAAAATCGAACTGCACTCGATGTTTGCCCGATTGCAGCCTTTTATATTCACAAAAATTGGCGGTTTTCAGGCGAATACAAACGCGTTTTGTCTCATCGCTGACTGCATCGCATTTTGATATTCAATATGCGTTCACAATGGCCAAGTTTATGGCTCATTACGGCTCTTAACGCGTTTACCTAATGCCTGCCAAACGTTTTGAGCACAAAGAACGTTATTGTTGCTAAATCATCGTCATTATCATCAGTAAATCCACCTTTCATAATAACCCCTACACCAAAATGTGTGACGTTTCTTTTTGTCAAATCACTTTTCCTTCGTAGACTCTTGTTTATTAAAAAACATATAATAAAATCCCGCATCGATTGGATTAAAATGTATCCCCAGCAAAGAATAGTATATTCGAACTTCCTTAGCTTGTATTCCTCTAACTTGAACTCGTTTAGATCAAATCAAATCGAAGTCTCGATAACGCAATATTATTTTATTGGCAGTTTACTGCTCGTGATGTAAAATGGGAAATATATATGTAATGAAATATTTTTGCCTATTAAATAGATCTTGGCTTTAAAAAAAGGAAAGATCAAGGAATTGGTATTTTCTCCAATATCCTCTTAATTTTATTTTGTATTCAAAATTGCAAATAGCGCTATTAATTAATAATTACAATTATAAATTATACCTCCAAACAAAGTTCATCTCGGTAAAAACAGCGACAAACACAAACTCTGTATAATTCTCAATCTCATTCGGACAATGTCCACAAATCATTAATCACCTAAATGGTAGCCCAAATTTGGGACCACAAATGCCCAATTAAAATGCAATGAGCGTTGTTAGAATTATTCTCCAGTCTGAGGCTGAAATCACGTTCAAGGCCATTCTATATCGAAGCGATTCTGTCATCAGAGATCGGCAGAAAATAAGAAGTCAGTAGAATGCAAAGGAAATGTATGTTTTGGCTTGACATAAACTATCGCAGCAAAAAAAAGCCAATAAACCTGTGGCCGAATGATCTGAGCAAAACAAAAATGAACATAAATCCGATCAGAGTCCAGAAGTGCTCAGAAGTACGATCTTATAATTTTGGTAGACTGACAGAGGACTATATAAGACCGCTGAGAAGTGGAGAACAGTATCAAAACACAAATTGCAATCGCAGCACAAACATCTCAAGTCCTCAAGGAGAAATCAAAACAATCAAAATGTTCAAGCTGGTGAGTTAAGGAATAAAACAGAGACATCCTTGCCTAACTCTAATAATACTTTATTGAATTAATCCTAATGTTTTACCAACTTTTTGTACTAATTTTAGCTGGTTGTTTTCGCTGCCCTCTTTGCCGTTGCTCTGGCTGTTCCCGCACCAGTTGCTCGGGCTAATCCCGCCCCGATTCCGATTGCCAGTCCCGAGCCCGCCCCCCAGTTCTACTATGGAGCCAGCCCATACGCCTATTCCGGCGGATACTACGCCTCCCCCTACTCCTACTACGGCTAAGCAACCAGAATAATGCAAACCAACCAACGACGACTCGTAATAATAAATAAGATGCAAATTCAAATTAATTCAAATCGCTTATTTGAATCTCTTAGTTCTCAAATTGTTCTGAAATAAAAACATTTTAACTATGATTTTAAAAATATTTATTTTTAAATCATATTAAGGCCAATACATTTTTAAACAAAGAAAATAAAACGAAATATCACTATGGACTGCAGGTATATAACGAGTTTTTCTGCTTGAATATTTTCGAAAGTTTAACGCTGACCTGGCAAGAATTTCTTCCAGAAAATATGCACCATCAACTTGGTGTAAAAAATTTGATAGAAAAAGTATTTCAGGTTAAAAAATAAACATTTTCACTAAGTATTTGTAAAATATGATGTATTCAACTAAATAAATAAAGTACACATACCTGTGTAGGCAAAATGTTATAACTTGTACAACTGGGATTAAAATAAGTAATTTTTAGGCACCAAAAAACAAATAACAACTCACCTTTTTTGGATGGGTAATTATGATTTTCTTTTGATATTTCCTCTTGCCCTGATCCTTCCTCAGTAATATCTTTAACTGGGTTTCAAAAAACTTAGTCTTAGGCACCGAAAAACTTTCGCAACTCACTTTCTTTGCCGTAATCATTTGAAATTTCCTCTTTTCCCGATCCTTTAGCATAATTATCTACAAAACAAAATTAGTTTTGGGCAACATACAACTACTACAACTCACCTCCAATGAATCGGATATTCTCATGCTCTTTTAATGTTATACAATGCCCTTGATCTCCTTCATCATTATCATAATCACCTTTTTTTACACTGGAGTTCTCGTTGGCCAGGATATGGCTTATAAGCGCGCAAATCAGCGCACAAGTCACAAACTTTCCAACGAACATTCTCGCTTAATTTTGTAATATTTTTATTTTTGTCCCGAATTTATAATTTATTTTCAATGTTTAGGCAGAAAACTAGTTTATTTCATCGAGAGCTTCAACAAAGACTAAACGTAATTTAATTCTGCCGATCGATTTTAAAACATTAAGTTCCCTTGTCTACATTTAATAGAGTAATAAAAGAAAGAAATAATAGTTTCTTTTATTATATTAAGTTATATTCATTTTTGATTATTATAATAATTAATGCTTCGAGTTAAGATTAAAATCAGCTCTATTCGTCTATGACTTTTGAATTAAAGTTTATGGAGTCATGGAATTGTAGCCATTAAAATTAGTGTAGAACTACAAAACAAACAACTCGAACTTGAACAGATTTTGTCACTTATTTCAGAATAGTAGACCTTGGATTTTATGTCATTTAGCATAATATACATTTAAATACCCGAAATAAGAAATTATAAAAACCGCTTTTACTGATTTAATATATGTCTCCATAAAGAAGTGGTGCAGTTCATAAGTCGAACTTCTATAACTATACAAGCCGAACTCGTTTTACAGAAAATAGGAAGTATAAATACAGGTAAAATATATTAAATAACTCGGATTCTTTCGGCAGATGATGCGTCGCTTACATTACCAATGTAAACATAAATAAATCAAACCAAATCAAAACAAATTTATAAAACTAGGATTTCTCAGAAGGAAAAACTTAAATTTTCCCCAAACCAGAAGTAAATGATGTTATATACATTTTTATACATTTTTTTTTATTAGAAAAATGTGCTCAAATTATTACTAATTACAAATACCAATTATACCTGCAAACAATTGTCGTCTGGATAAGAATCACATCGAACACAATAAAAATCGCAATCTCATTCGGACAATGTACACAAATCATTAATAACCTAAATTGTAGACCAAATTTGAGACCACAAGTTCCCAATTAAAATGCAATGAGCGTAGTTAGAAATATTCTCCAGTCTGAGGATGAATTCACGTTCAAGGCCATTCTATATCGAAGCGATTCTGTCATCAGAGATTGGTAGAGAATAAGAAGTCATTAGAATGCAAAGGAAATTTTGTTTGAGCTTGACAAAAACTATCGTAGTAAAAATAGAAAAAATTCTATTGCCGAATGATGTGAGCAAAACAGAAATGGCCATAAATCCGATCAGAGTCTAAAAGTGCGACATCATAAATAAGTCATGAGTGCGCATTTTGGTAGACTGAAAGAGGACTATATAAGACCACTGAGAAGTGGAGAACATTATCAAATAACAAATTGCAATCGCAACAGAAACATCTCAAGTCCCCAAGGAGAAATCAAAGCAAACAAAATGTTCAAGCTGGTGAGTTAAGGAATAAAACCTGACGTTTTAAACAAATAAGGATTATATATGAGATCTACATTGTTTTTACAATGCATTTTCTGGATTACCGTACAGCTTTCTTAAAAAATACTTAAATTAATTTTGGTATTTAAATTGTGAACAGTGTTTTAGAGATAGGTATATTTAGTGTTTTAAGCATATCTTTCTGGTTAAACTAAAATACTTTCCAACAAAAAAAACCTAAATTAGCAATACCTATTGGTATTATTGTGAACAATTTATTTGTGATGAGAATTTAATTCAAATTGAATTCTGAAAGTATTTACAAGTTTAAAACCTTTGTTATTTATTTTAGCTGGTTGTTGTTTTCGCTGCCCTCTTTGCCGTTGCTCTGGCTGTTCCCGCCCCAGTTGCTCGGGCCAATCCCGCCCCAGTTCCGATTGCCAGTCCCGAGCCCGCCCCCCAGTTCTACTATGGAGCTAGCCCATACGCCTATTCCGGCGGATACTACGCCTCACCATACTCCTACTACGGCTAAGTGACCAGCATAATGCAATCCAACCAACGACGACGACTCGTGATAATGCATCAGAATACGGATTACGGAATATGCGCGTGCTGGCAAATCAAATTAGTCATAAGTGCTTTAAAAAACGCAAAAAAAAAATACAAGAATTGAACAAATAAAACGATGAAGTGCAAAACTAACATGGATTTTTGATGACGGGTAAAATCTTTCACCAGCTCAAGAAAAAAAGTCTCCAACGCGAAGGGCCATCGAGTATTGTCAACTGCTTTGGTCGGCTGAACGACAAGCGGTTCCATGGTGTAATGGTTAGCACTCAGGACTCTGAATCCTGCGATCCGAGTTCAAATCTCGGTGGAACCTAATCGAAATCTATATTTTGTTTTTTTTTAACGTTGCTTAATTTTTTATTTTATTTACTATTAATTTAAACAACCACTTAACCAATTAATTTCTTAATATAGTTATTATTTGCTTTCAAAATTACTAGGCCGGCGTATCTTTGTTTTTGCTTTCTTTTGTTATTGGGTAACAAATCGAAGCACATAAATATTTTATTTTATTATTTTTATCAAACAATTTTTAGCTACTTATCAAAATTATTAAATACGATTACCCAATCTGACCTTTTCGTTCGCCGTAGAACGTTTATGGGTTTTGTCATTCCGTGTTCAAGCGGTTCCATGGTGTAATGGTTAGCACTCAGGACTCTGAATCCTGCGATCCGAGTTCAAATCTCGGTGGAACCTGAGATGAATTCTTTTTTTTTCTTTTTTTTTGACAACTTGAGTGAATTTAACCTATCTATCAGTGTACAAGGAATCAATAATTTATAAGTATAACTTGTTAATATTATAGAAATAAAAGTCAAGTATGAATGTGTTTTGCTTGGTTGTGGTATCTGCTTATTGGTAGATTTCTCCGCTAAACAGCTGATTTGTTTTTTTTTGTGAATGGCAAAAGTGTATTTTTTGTTGGTATCAGAATGACAGTTGCAGCCAAGAACGAAGAAGAAGTGCATTTATTTTTGCTCTCGCTGCATTTTTGCACCACTCTGCGCTTTTTTCCGCATAAATCATATCATATCGAAAGTAATTTAATACCCTTTGGAATAATGCTCACCTTGTTTATCGCGTGTGGCTATGGATAGAGTTTGCTCAGCTATTGTTTTCCTTTGTAGCGCCAAAACAAAAATTTAAGACTGCTGCTAGAAAGAGACGGTTGCGCGCATTTAATCGGGATTTTTTGAGATTATGTTGAAACGCTCGTTAAAGGTCCTAATTGCCGTGGTGTTGAGCTTGATGTTTACCGTTTCGCTGGTAAAGATAGTGCTATTGATTTGGTCCTCGCATCCCAACGCCCACCACACTGCCCCGCCCCTTCCCTCCGTCGACGAATGGCTGGACTCGGAGAACCTATCATCCTACAAAGAATTGTTTCGCAGTAAAGGTAAGTCAGTTTTATTAATTGCCTTATTATTCCCTAATCGATTGATTACGCCTTATCGTGGTCTTAATGTCATTGCCTGTGGCTTTTGTTTATATTTTTAATTTGTTGTATTTGCTGTTGGGGGTCACTTCCCATCTCTTTCTTTCCATCTGAAACTTTCGGTACATTGTTGACTATTTGAGCTTTGAAAGCTTTCTTTACACACGTGCTGCGATAAAAACTTGTTATATTTTGGGGTGTCAATCAGCATATAACGACAAAAAATCAATTCTAGTAATTTTGAATTACAAAAAATAATGCATTTATCAGGTTCCACCGAGATTTGAACTCGGATCGCAGGATTCAGAGTCCTGAGTGCTAACCATTACACCATGGAACCTCGCTGATCTTCGACTTCCCCACAGTGAGCTAAAAATTAATGACAAAGATCAGAAGGTCAACTGAGTTTTAAATTAACATAAGTAATAATCTATTAACTAAAAATGTATTAGAACAAATAAAAAATAATAAGAATAAAAAAGAACAAAAAAATCTGTCGTCTAGGTTCTACCGAGATTTGAACTCGGATCGCAGGATTCAGAGTCCTGAGTGCTAACCATTACACCATAGAACCTCTATGAAAGATTGCAGCCAAGTGGCAGTTTTCTAATGAATCTACCTAACTCCGCCACCAAAGATCATAGAAGAGAAAGTTGCTTTCAGAAATTCCCATCTATTATAGATGATTTTGAGTTGTTTTTGTTTTTGTTGATTGGCTGAGCGCCAAAGATAATTAAAAACGATTCTGTTGCTATGGCTAAAAAAAGCCCATGCTTGATAAACATGTCTTTGAACTCGAGGCGTTGGAATTGTTTAACCCTTTGTAAGCCAATGTGATATACCTGTCGCCAACCTAAAAATTGGTATAGTCGGTAAAGACTTTTTTGTATTTTACCCGAGTTTCCAGTTACAATACTTGGTTTGATTAACACTAAGTAATCTACTTGACTTTTTCCTATCATTAATTATAAGCATATTTTGGAAAGTGGTTTGCAAACATATTAAATATAATTTCATTTTCAGCTTGAGCAATTATAAGGCAAAGTAAATTTGAGATGTGTTAGTTCGACATTTGAATAAAAAGTAAATCACAATTTAATCTACGCCTAGATATAGTTTTAAATGATTTTTGTTTACAAATTAGCATTAGTAATATGTGAACCATGCGAACCCTTCCAAATACATACATACAGCGAATCCAACTCTATGCTCAAAAGGCAATTAGGGAAAGGAATTTTTTATTTGAGCATATGGTTAAGAGGTTTTACTCAAACCTTTTCGTACTGGTTGTACCGTAATAATGAAGTAAGCCAATTAAGCACATGCTGCCGTGTCTAATGATAATGTAATTTTAATCAAGCGCGCCAAACAGAAAACAACCTGCTGGATTTGGCGAGGGTGTGGGTTTAAAAGGAGGGAACCAAGATGCAGCAAAAGCTTTTTTTCCGAATCGGGTCCTCGTCATTTTTCGGCTCCTTTCGCAGGACACGAACGGTTTCTGTGTCACTCGGTTTCAATTTTCGGAGTCAGGCTTTCGGTATAAAATCAATCGTAAGTGTCCTTAAATGCTCAGTTTTGGTTTTACTTTGAGACGTGCTGGTTTCACATTTCCAACCGCCTGGGAAACCGCCGCGTTTTTCCCCCGTTTTTCTTTGGTACAACAGCAAAAACAAATATTACAAATACAAAAAAAAAAACAAAAACCATACAGATAAACCAATAACAAGCCCAATAAATATGGCCGAAAAACGCCTAAAGCTATGATTTGCTGTGCTTACATCGCGTTTAGTTTTTGCCCATATTTTAGCCTCACTTTTCCTTTTTTCCACGCAAAAGTTGTCAAAACATTTCGTGACAACGAGGACAATACTGCCACGAAAAAGAGCCCTAACCTAAATAAGGAAGCACGTGTTTTATTATTAGGAACCTTCCCCGTAGAATTTACTCCATTGAAACACCCACTCAAAGCTAATGATCCATAGCTAATCTCTGCTAATACGCACTGGGTCTAAAAACGAATGCATGTAGAGAGCAAATTTCGCGGCGAACAATTTTCCACATTTTGGCATATTAATTTTTAATTGTTGGTGCGGCCGGGGAAACGGATTTTCCCCCAGTCGTTCTTACACTTCAGCGCGCAGCTATTTTATAGGTCTCAAACCTCCACCATGGCTTCCCTCCGTTGTGTTTTCGGTTCGTGTGTTCCATTATCCTATCTAAATAAACCGTCGACTCATCTTCAGTTTGTTCAATGTGTGTGCACAGCGAAATATTTCACAAATAAAGCGTGATAATTTAAAACAAATATTTAAAGGAGATATTTTTAATTTCATTTTCAGTATTGATATACAATTTGTATGATAAATGCTTAAATTTTCTAAAAACTATTTTGTGGTAAATCCGGAAATACAAAATAGTTAGAGTGTTATTAGCTTTTTATGACACATTTGAACAAATTTTACAATGCTCTTATCTTCAAAAGCAAAACAAAAATATAATTGTAATAAAGCGGAATTAAAATCAATTTTTCAATTAAGTGATTCTCTTGCATTTTATGCTAAATGTAGCGTAAATTTTATTTTTTTTAAGTGTGACTTTAACTGTCTTTGGAAGTCGTTGTTGTTGCGGTATTCCCCTTTTTTTGGCTCTGACAGATCGGCCCGCTCATAAAGAATTAATTGGCGATTCATTTTGATGACATTCGTTCCCTACCACTGCTCTCCATTTCGCACTTGACCAAGTCCATGTCCAGTCGAATTCTTGATGTCGCACCTACCATTTTCCACAAATGTTTCCCTTCGCAATATTCCTCTCCTACACACGCGCTTAACCTTTAAATCGCATTTACTTTTGACCTGCATATTAATTAATGAGTTAACAGCACGAGAGAGCAAAAACGGTCTTGTGCGGTCATTTATGCATAAAGTGGCATTTGGGGGTATAATGTATGTATGTTTTAATGTTTGTGGGAGAGGTCAGGCTAAAGTTGTTCAACCTGTTCTTATATAACGCTAAAGAATGTGAGAAAAATAAGAAAAATACAAAGATGATTTAACAAATCATAGAATTACCAAAAGAATTAAATATATAGCATTTCTTAGTACCATATATATTTAATTAAAAAAAAAAAACTTCCCAGAAATATAAAAAAAAGAGGATATTTTCTCAGGTTCCACCGAGATTTGAACTCGGATCGCAGGATTCAGAGTCCTGAGTGCTAACCATTACACCATGGAACCGCGCTGATCGACCGCCGCCTAATCGCTGATTTCGATATCCGCTGCCAAAAATAGAGCCCACCGAAAAAGAAAGTTGATAGAGCTGATATAGGCAAAAACAAATCAAAAAAAAAAAAAATATGAAAACAATGTAAAGAAAACATTTGCATATCACCATAAAGACAGAAATGCGAGTCGAACCAAATTGGTTGCCCAATCGAAATGGGAAATAGGAAGGAAAAGACTGGAACGTGGAGAGTCGGAAGCATTTAGTTTGTGCGACACAAAGAGGAAATAATTGTTTGGTAAACATTGACCAATGTCCGTCAAAGGCAGAGAAAGCAAACAAAGTATTTCCATTTCTTGGTTTGCGGACTGAAAACCTTTTTTGCTTTCTGTTTTCGTTTTTGTTCGTTTCATTCCGGCCTGCAAGGAAATTAAAAGGAAATTGCGCTTGTTTTGTCGGGAGAAGTGGG